TCTTTGGTAAACTTTTTTCTATAGAAAAACTTTGTTGGTGAATTTTTTTCTATAGAAAAAATCCGTTAGTGAACTTTTTTCTATAGAAAAAATGTTCGTTGGTGAACTTTTTTTCTATAGAAAAAATGTTCGTTGGTGAACTTTTTTTCTATAGAAAAAATGTTCGTTGGTGAACTTTTTTTCTATAGAAAAAATGTTCGTTGGTGAACTTTTTTTCTATAGAAAAAATGTTCGTTGGTGAACTTTTTTTCTATAGAAAAAATTCCGTTGGTGAATTTTTTTCCATGGGAAAAAAATCGTTGGTGAATTTTTTTCCATGGGAAAAAAATCGTTGGTGAATTTTTTTCCATAGAAAAAATGTTCGTTGGTGAACATTTTTTCTATAGAAAAAAATTCGTTGGTGAACATTTTTTCTATAGAAAAAAATTCGTTGGTGAACATTTTTTCATTCATTGGTGAATTTTTTCCATTGAAAAATTCCGTTGGTGATCAGTTTTTTTCTAATCACCAACCCCTCATAACCTCTTGTTGTGCCTATGTGAGTTTGAACTGCCTTCACCATCTCTGCGTATCCATCTCTTAGCTTTACAACAATTGTCGCAATACCATGTTTTTATTTCTTTGGATGGTAAAGACGTAACAGGTTAACGTAAAAGCAAGCCGATCCATGTTCGGTTAAACGAATGTGGGTGAAATGTTTTGGTGGTGTCACCAACACCGATGTGTGGTCACAGCCATGTCAGTGTGCCCGACATTTTAATGACAAAAAGTAATTATGAAATGTTTGTTGTCATTTACAACGTCTGGCGACGTTTGGCATGTAAGGTCTCAGAGGTTTTTGGTAGGTTACAGAAAAAAAATCAATGGGTTTCCATATTTTTTAATAATCTGACATTATTTTTATTTACATTTTTCAATGATCTGTTATTTATATCATTGCCGGTTTAAAACAAAATTCAGATTCACCTCCCAACACCTTTTTCTCTGGCTCACCATTCCATAGTGAATTTTTTATAAAAAAAAGTCTCTTATATATATGACACCCTCCATAGGCACATTGCTAATTGTGTCACCAATCTAAAAAAAATATCACTTGCTCATACCTATTTTTATCGGCCAGACGGCCAGCCAGCCGAAAGTGGTGACAAACACCAGACAATGTTGGGTAATTACATTTAATATGAACCCTTCCTCCCCGTCCCACTCATCTCAGGCAACAGCAATGTAAACGATACCTTTCGTTTTTCTTTTGTCTATGTGACAACATAATCCCATGTCATTCCATTCAACAGCTAAGCCTCTTTGTATCTTTTAACGCTACAAGTCCCCTTAAAGCTGGGGAATCTATTCTCCCGCCGTGAGGGGGAGGTTGGGTGGTCAGCACCAAAAAATGCCGATTTGATTGATTGGCTAATTAAAATTTCATTAACAATGTGTGGCGATTTTGTGTTGGACTTTTCTCAACTATAGAAGCTAATGTGACATAAATTAAAGCATACTTTTAGGCTTTATTGTAAAATGGGCAAATCAGACCACTAAGCAGAAAGATAAAACAAAAATAGTAATAATAAAACAAAATCTTAGACTAATATCGTTCTCCTCTAATGCACATGTATAGTAATCGATAAAAGTTTAGGTAAAAAATCTTATTATCGATAAGAATTTTTGTATAGAAAATCTTGTTATCGATAGGATTTTCTATGGAAAATTTTGTTATCGACAGGATTTTCTATCGAAAATCTTGTTATCGGTACGATTATCTAAAGAAAATCTTGTTATCGGAATAATTTTCCATAAAAAAATATTGTTATCGATATGAATTTCTTTAGAAAATCGTGTTATCGATCCGATTTTCTTTAAGAAGTATTTTTATCGGTACGATTTTCCGATCGATAGGATTTTCTATGGAAAATTTTGTTATCGACAGGAAAATCTTGTTATCGATAGGATTTCCTATCGAAAATCTTGTTATCGATACGATTTTCTATTGAAAATCTTGTTATCGTTACGATTTTCTATTGAAAATCTTGTTATCGGTACGATTTCCTGTAAAAAATCTTGTCATCGATAAGGATTTTTATAGAAAATTTTGTTATCGATAAGGATTTCTATAGAAAATTTTCAGAGAATCTTATTATCGACAAGATTTTTTATAAAAATATTTGTTATCGATATGATTTTCTATAGAAAATCTTGTTATCGGTACGATTTTCTATAGAAAATATTGTTATCGGTATGATATGCTATAGAAAATCTTGTTATCGGTACGATTTTCTAAGGGAAATCTTGTTATCGATACAATTTTCTATAGAAAATCTTGTTATCGATAATATTTTTTTTATAGAAAATCTAGTTACCGGTACTGGTTTTTATGGAAAATCTTGATTTCGACAAGAGTTTTTATAGAAAATCTTGTTATCGATAATAGTTTTTAAAGAAAATCTTGTTATCGGTACGATTTCCTATGGAAAATCTCGTCATCGGTAAGAATTTCAATAGAAGATCTTGTTATCGGTTCAATTTTCTATAGAAAATCTTGTTATCGGCACAATTTTCAATAGGAAAATCTTGTTATCGGTACGATTTTCTATAGAAAATCTTGTTATCGGTATGATTTTCTATAGAAAATCTTGTTATCGGTATGATTTTCTATAGAAAATCTTGTTATCGGTATGATTTTCTATAGAAAATCTTGTTATCGGTATGATTTTCTATAGAAAATCTTGTTATCGGTATGATTTTCTATAGAAAATCTTGTTATCGATAATATTTTCTATGGAAAATCTTGTTATCGATAATATTTTTTTATAGAAAATCTAGTTACCGGTACTGGTTATTATGGAAAATCTTGATTTCGACAAGAGTTTTTATAGAAAATCTTGTTATCGATAATAGTTTTTAAAGAAAATCTTGTTATCGGTACGATTTCCTATGGAAAATCTCGTCATCGGTAAGAATTTCAATAGAAGATCTTGTTATCGGTTCAATTTTCTATAGAAAATCTTGTTATCGGCACAATTTTCAATAGGAAATCTTGTTATCGGTACAATTTTCTATAGAAAATCTTGTTATCGGTACAATTTTCAATAGAAAATCTTGTTATCGGTACAATTTTCTATAGAAAATCTTGTTATCGGTACAATTTTCTATAGAAAATCTTGTTATCTGTAGAAAATCTATCTCTAGAAAATCCAACAACAAATCCATAACAACAAGATTTTCTGTAAAAAATATTATCGATAACAAGATTTCCTATAGAAAATTTTATCAATAACAATAATATCTACAAAAAAACATTATCGATAACTATATTTTCTATAAAAAATATTATCGATAACAAGATTTTCTATAGAAAATGTTACCGATAACAAAGTTTTCTATCAAAAATGTTAGCGATAACAGAATTTTCTATAGAAAATCTTGTTATCGATAATATTTTCTATAGAAAATTTTGTTATAGCTAACATTTTTGATAGAAAACTTTGTTATCGGTAACATTTTCTGTAGAAAATCTTGTTATCGATAATATTTTCTAGAGAAAATATTGTTATCGATAATATTTTTTTGTAGATAATATTGTTATCGATAATATTTTTTATAGGAAATCTGGTTATCGATAATATTTTTTTAAGAAAATCTTGTTATCGTTAATATTTTTTATGGAAAATCTTGTTATCGATTAGAATTCTTATAGAAAATCTTGTTATCGGTACGATTTTCTATAGAAAATGCCGTTATCGGTACGATTTTCTATAGAAAATGCCGTTATCGGTACTATTTTCTATAGAAAATCTTGTTATCGGTAATATTTTATAAGGAAAATTTTGTTATCGATATGATTTCCTATAGAAAACCTTGTTATCGGTATGATTTTCTATAGAAAATAGGGTTATCGGTACGATTGTCAATAGAAAATCTTGTTATCGATACGATTTTCTATAGAAAATGTGTACGATTTTCGAAAGAATATCTTGTTATCGTTACCATTTTTTATTTAAAATCTTTTTTTATTTAAAATCGTACCGATACGACTTTCTTCAAATATTCTTGTTATCGATCATTATCCTGTATCGATTTTCCATACAAAATATTGTTATCGTTATTAACTCATCCAAGATTTAAGATTCCCTCTGATCTATGAAGAGTACTTACGTCATCTGTAATGATTTCTCTGTATTTCTCTCCCCAGCTCTGTTTTTACCTATTTGTCTCTTCCTCTCTCTTTTCCCATCAAATTAGAGCAAGCTCTATTTTTTCTCTCCCTATTTCTCTTTAATTTGCTAATACTCTCTTGCAATTTTTTGTCTTCTCTCTGAGAGTTTCCCTTTTCCCCTTCTCCCAAATAAAACACTGATAAACATTTTTACACTTATATTTATTTTCGATTCATAACTGAAACTTAACAAATCGTACATTTCTAAACAAAATAGTTTTGATTTAGAGAAATAAACATAAAATTGTTTTGAATTCGAAAAAATAATTTTTAAAAAATATGTATATTTACAAGCATGGGGATATAAATAAATAAGGCAATAGATGTAAGAAAATTTATTGGTTTTTGTTTTGTACAATAGAATAAGAGTTGATACAGTGACAGACAAAAGTGAGGGACCAGAAAAAATCAGATGTCAAAATTTGTTATTTGTTGAATTTTTTTCTATTTTTTTTTACTTTTATTCTTGGAATTAAAAAAAAAATATATATGGTTTACACTTTTGACCTTCACTGTGAATATTTTTTTTTTTTTTTTTTTGAAAATCTTCCTTGGCAAACGTTAGCATAAAAATTGTATTTGATTCTGACGTTTAAATTAAATATAGATTTTTTTTGTTGCTCACTTTTGCCCCTCACTGTAAATTTTTTTGTTTTGAAATTTCTCATTGGGAACGGATACAAATACGTACACACATTATTTGACTAGTAGTTAAGTTTATAAATTACAACAAAAAATAAAAAATAAAAACAACAATTTAAACAAAAAAAAAACATAGGATCGTAACCCTTGTGCGAGCAATTTAGGACCCCTGACGTCTTAACCCCGCTGCTGGCTTCACCCCCCAATCTTCTTTGATCATATCCGAGGCTTTTTCACCAATCATTATGACAGGAGCATTTGGGTTGCCATTCACAATGGTGGGCATAATGCTGGCATCCACCACCCTCAGACCCGAAACCCCATAGACACGCAGACGAGGATCCACCACAGCTGTGACATCCCAACTGGGACCCATTTTACACGTCCCCGTCGGGTGATAAATTGTAAAGGTGAATTGTTTGATGCAACACGCCCAGTACTCATCGCTGGCAAATTCCAGATGTTTACAGCCCGGCAAGGGTATACGATGCAGGCGGGAGCCAAATCTCTTAAAAGCCTGGGTATCGGAAACATTCACCGCCAACTTTATACCCTCCACCAGCACATCAATGTCCTGTTGATGGGCAAAATAGTTGGGTATGATTTTCGGTTGCTGGTGGGGATTGCGGGAATTCAAGCGCACCCAACCGGTACTCTTCGGCCGCAGCAGTAGCGGCAATATGGACCAGGTTTCTGAGTTCTGTATGGGCTTGTAGACCGTGTTGTAGAAGCCATCGCGTAGATTTAGAATTTTGCGAATTTGATCTCCACCATCGGAATTAATGGAACTGGGACAGAAATGGAATTGTATGTCCGGCCAGTCTACATTCGGGTCCTGGAATTTGCTGTTGAGAAAGGCCACACCCTCCACTCCGGTATAGGTCATGGGACCACGTTCCCTTAGGATATATTCCATGCTGACGGGCATGGTTTGGAAACGATTACGGGTCACCGTGAGAGGAGCATCCACCACAAAGGTAAGGCCACCCAGGCCCACATGATCCTGGAGATTATTTCCCACCGGCAAATCGGATACCACTGGTATACCCAATTCCTGCAAATGCTCCGCCGGCCCTATGCCCGACAACATCAGCAGCTGGGGACTGTTTATGGCACCGGCACTGGAAATCACTTCACGTCTCACGAACACCACATTTTTGTGGCCATTTTTCACGAATTCCACTCCCGTGGCTCTCTTGTTTTCATCCAAAATAATCCTCGTGGCCTGGGCATGCAGTAGAACATCCAAATTCTTACGCAACCTCACGGGTCGTATAAAAGCCTTGCCAGTACTGCAGCGGGACCCTCGGCGCATTGTGGACTGGGTGAGCATGAAACCGGTCTGCTTCTCGCCATTAATGTCCCGATTTTCATAACCCATTTCCATGCCGGCCTGCAGAAAAGCAATGGAGAGCGGCGTACGCCATGGTGACTCCTGGACGGTGAGATAGCCTCCGGTCTCATGATAGGGGGTCTTGGCCAAATAAGGATTGCGTACATCCTCGGATTTTAGGAAATAACGCAGGACATCCTCATAGCCCCAGCCGTTGTTGCCCAGCGACTCCCAGTGGTTATAGTCGTTTTTGGACCCTCTCACATAGACCATGGCATTGAGGACACTTGAGCCACCGAGAACCTTGCCGCGCGGCCAAAAGCAGCGATCTCCCTTCATGGCCTGACAGTATTGGCGGGTGGCCGAGGGGGTGGTTTGATATTTCCAATCCATTTCGGTGAGTTGTAGGAACCCGGCCAGGGTTGGGACATCGGATATTTCATTTTCATCACCACCTGCCTCCAGTAGCAGCACTGTCCAGTTTTTCACCTCCGACAGGCGATTGGCCACCACTGCCCCCGCCGAGCCGCCTCCTATCACCACAAAATCATATTGGCCACGAATCTGGAAAAAATCGGAATTAAAAAAAAACATTTTTCGAAAAATCTCCAAACCACCCACTCACCACACTCGGCTCCTGCACCTTATTCTCCGGATCCACCGTCTGATAACGATAATAATTCATGCCGATGGCCAGCAGCGGTATCATGCCCAGCAAAGATGTTATTGTACCAAATGCCATGTTTCAGTAATTGTCAGATCCAAGGATCCTCCTTGCGTCCACTTTTCGCCTTGCCAAAACCGTTACTCACCGCCGGTGCACTGGTGGACAATGCCACTTCCGATAAAATTTTGGGCGTATAATTCCGTATGCCACCCGGTTTGGCTATCTTATATTGGGCACTGGCCCTCTGATCCTCTTCCAAAATGTCCAGATACGATTTGATGTACAAATGATGATCCAAGTATTCCTTTTGTTTTTGTATCGATTTATTCGATTTACTCGATATGGCCGATACAGCCCCACCACTGGTCACCGAGGCGGCTGAAGAGAATCTACTTGGCGGCGTGGTGCACTGGCACGACGAATAATAAATGCCACTATCGGTGCTCTGGGAATTTTTGCGTTGATGCCTTCCCTTGATGTCGCGATACAAATCGTCAGCCACCGCAAAGTTTGCCCTCTGATACTCCGAACTTGCAGTCGTAGTGGTCGAATGACTATCGAGCGATTTGCGGGAACCCAATGGCTTGGGTATTTTCGTCTTCTCGTAACTCTGCTTGGCCAAACTGTAACGTTGACACTGGCGATAATATTCGTCGTCCGTCGACGAAGAATTCGAAATGCTTGACGAGGTGTAGACCAACTCCTTGTGTTTCGGCGAATAGATGAGATGCGGAGGGGAAGGGGTGGTGGAAATGGAATTTATGTTGCTCTTGTTGTGGTTACAGGAATAGGGATTGTTGAAGGATTGTTGATAGCTGCTGCTCGGCTTGTCCGAATGATGCTGCTGCTGCTGGTGGTGCTGTTGATGTTGGCTGTTCGGGTGCTGTGTTGTGTTGGTGTGGGGAAAAGATTGTTGCTGTTGCCGTCTACTTGTGTAACATTTATTCTGTTGTGATATCTCTTGTCCCATATTTTAAACGAAGTGAAATATAGGAAGCTGGAAGGAGAGGGATAGAACCAAAAACACTAAATATTAGAAAAAAATACAACAAAAAAAAAAAAATAATAATAAAAAAATATTTCGATAACTGAATAGCGAAACGTAAAAAAATATATTCTAGAATTTTTTCCATTTCGATAACAACTTATTTTGTTATCGATAACATAATTAACAATAAAAAAATTTATTATTTTCTATAAAAAATCCTGTTATCGACAATATTTTCTATAAAAATCCAGCTATCGACAAAATTTTCTATAGAAAACCTTGTTATCGATATTATTTTCAATTGAAATCTTGTTATCCGTACGATTTTCTAAAGAAAATCTTGTTATCGGTACGATTTTCTAGAGAAAATCTTGTTATCGGTACGATTTTCTGTAGAAAATCTTGTTATCGGTACGATTTTCTATAGAAAATATTGTTATCGATAATATTTTCCACGAAAATTTTGTTATCGATAATATTTTCTATGAAAAAAATTTTTATCGATAATATTTTCTATGGAAAATGTTGTTATCGGTGCGATTTTCTATAGAAAATCTTATTATCGGTATGATTTTCAACATAAAATTGTTGTTATCGGTATGATTTTCTACAGAAAATTTTTATTATCGATAGGATTTTATATAGAAAATCCTGTTATCGGTTCAATTTTCCGCTGAAAATCTTGCTATCGGTAAGATTTTCTTTAGAAAACCTTGTTATCGAAAATATTTTCTATGGAAAATTTTGTAATCGATAATATTTTCCATGGAAAATTTTGTTACCGGTATTTTTTTCTATAGATAATCTTGTTATCGGAACGATTTTCTATGGAAAATCTTGTTATCGGTACGATTTTCTATAGAAAATCTTGCTATCGATAATATTTTCTATGAAAAATGTTGCTATCGATAATATTTTCCATGGAAAATTTTGTTATCGATAATATTTTATATTTAAAATTTTGCTATAGATAATATTTTCTATGAAAAATTTCGTTATCGATACCATTTTCTATAAAAAATCTTGTTATCGATAATATTTTCTATGGAAAATTCTCTTATCGGTACAATTTTCAATAGAAAATATTGTTATCGGTACTATTTTTTATAGAAAATCTTGTTATCGGTACGACTTTCTATGGTAAATTTGGTTATCAATAATATTTTCTATGAAATATTTGTTATCGATAATAATTTCTATTTAAAATTTGGCTATCGGTGCGATTTTCTATGGAAAATTTAGTTATCGGTACGATTTTCTATAGAAAATCTTGTTATCGGTACGATTTTCTATAGAAAATCTTGTTATCGGTAAGATTTTCTATTGAAAATCCTGTTATCGGTACGATTTTCTATGGAAAATCTTGTTATCGTTACGATTTTCAATAGAAAATTTTGTTATCGATAATATTTTCCATGGATAATTTTGTTATCGATAATATTTTCTATGGAAAAGTTTGTTATCGATAAATTTTGTTATCGGTACGATTTTCCATACAAAAATCTTGCTATCGGTACGATTTTCTATAGAAAATCTTGTTATCGTTACGATTTTCTATAGAAAATATTGTTATCGATACGATTTTCTATGGAAAATTTTTTTTATCGATAATATTTTCTATGGAAAATTTTGTTATCGATAATATTTTCTATGGAAAATTTTGTTATCGGTACGATTTTTCTATACAAAATCTTGTTATCGATAATTTTTTCTATGAAAATTTGGCTATCGATAATATTTACTATGGAAAATTTTGTTATCGGTACGATTTTCTATGGAAAATTTTGTTATCGATAATATTTTTTATAGAAAATCTTGTTATCGATAATATTTTCTATAGAAAATCTTGTTATCGATATTTTTTTCTGTAGAAAATTTTGCTTTCTATATTTTTTTATAGAAATTTTTTTTATCGTTACGATTTTCTATAGAAAATCTTGTTTTCGATAATATTTTCTATGGAAAGTTTTCTTATCTATAATTTTTTCTGAAGAAAATTTTGTTATCGGTATTTTTTTCTATAGATAATCTTGTTATAGTTACGATTTTCTATTGAAATCTAGTTATCGGTATGATTATCTATAGAAAATATTGTTATCGATAATATTATTTGTAGAAAATATTGTTATCGATAATATTTTGTGTAGAGAATTTTGTTATCGATAATATTTTCTATGGAAAATTTTGTTATCGATAATATTTTCTATGAAAAATGTTGTTATCGATAATATTTTTTATGGAAAATTTTGTTATCGATAATATTTTCTATGGAAAATTTTGTTATCGGAACGATTTTCTATAGAAAATCTTGTTATCGATAATTTTTTCTGTAAAAAATCTTGTTATCGGTACGATTTTCTATGAAGAATCTTGTTATCGGCTCGATTTCCTAGAGAAAATCTTGTTATCGATAATTTTTTCTATAGAAAATCTTATTATCGGTTCGATTTCCTAGAGAAAATCTTGTTATCGATCATTTTTTCTATAGAAAATCTTATTATCGTTACGATTTTCTATAGAAAATCTTGTTATCGATAATATTTTGTATGGAAAACTTGTTATCGATAACATTTTTTATAGAAAATTTTGTTATCGATAACATTTTCTATGGAAAATCTTGTTATCGTTACAATTTTCTATAGAAAATTTTGTTATCGCTACGATTTTCTTAAAAAAAATTTGTCATCGAAATAAATTTCTTAAGAAAACCTTGTTATCGATGTGTCTTTTTGTAATATTTTCCATTTTTTCATGGAAATAAAGACTCTGTCATTATGATTTGTTTATTTCTCATATCTTAAATAAATTATTATTATTTAATATAGCAATAATTTATTTTGTACAATTACACCTGTACAATTGTTGATGTCGGTGCTGTTGATAAGGCCGTGCCAACAAAACAAACCTCCCAACTTGAATTTATTGCCCATCATCATCATCATCCTCATCATGAATCACTACAACACGGAAGATGTGGATGTCTGGAGAAGAAGACAAAAAAAAAGAAAAGCCCGCAGACTATTCGCAAACAAGTTCCAGGCCAGAGATTGTGAGACTTGAAGACAATGCGGTAATTGCGTGTAACAAAAAAAAAAAAAACAAAAAAAAAACATTATCCACAAAAAAGAGACAGACAACTACAACCTATTTTGCACAAAATGAATGCAAAAAGCAAAAAAAAAAAAAAAAAAAAACGAAAAAAATACTTTAAATTTATCTCTTGAAATGTTGAAAAAGAAACAAAGAAATAAAAAAAACGCAAATAACTGCTTTGCAAAAAAAAAAAAAATACGAAGAAAATAAATGGTTAATTTTGCAACTTATTTAGCTGGAAAAAAAATTAAAACTATAAAAACTCAGCAGCAATGCCATAAAAATGATGATGACGTATGGTGATATGGAAATTTGTTGAGCGTTAGTTAGATTCGGAGATTAAGCAAAAGGAGGCCCAACCATTTGAATTAATCCACATATGAGCGACTCTACCTCGGGCAATTTTGTGTGGGAACCTTTACTCGAAATTAAAAAAAATAATAATTATTTAAAAAATATTGCCTGCCAGATTTGTTAATAATACGCAAACATGTGTTCGAGCAGATGCCATAAGAAATTAATTGTTCACAAAAAAAAAAAAAAAAAATACCAGGGACATTGGTAATGGAAAGAAAAATATACCCTCAGCTATAAATGGGGAAGAGGGTTTAGCCATGAATTATTGGTAAATTTATACAAGCGGAAAAATAATTTTAAAAATTATTATTTTTAAGGCAAGGTCACACTTCCATTTAAAATAAAAAAATAAAAAATATCCATTCCAAAAAAAAAAAAAAAAATAAATAAAAAAATTGAAAAAAAAAATCAAAAATATTCCTCAAGGAAATCACTTCACGTTGGCTAAAAACAATTTCCTCATTTCTGGAAAAGACCAGAAATTTGACAAATACAACGATAATGCATTAGCAGCACGTGCAGCTCAATAACTTGCCATAAAAGAAAAAAAAATATTCCAAAAAATAAAAAAAATATCAATAAAAATAAACTTGGTAATATTTAAAGCAAAACAAAACAAAAGACTTAAGCAACAAACCTGTTTTTTTTCAAAGAGCCCCATAAAAGCAACAACTGTAAATACCAAAAACAAATAATTTTTTGGGATATGTTACTATGGTCCAATGTAATGCTTGTTGATGTCAAAGAAAAAAAATCGGAAGTCAAGTGGAAAACACAGTTACGACTTGGAAGGAGGAGGTTAAGGCATGGAAAGAAAAAAATTGATTTTTTTTGGCAAAGTAGCGGCACATAATAACTTTCGACGTTATTTTTATATTTCCAATTTTTTGAATACTTTTGAAAAAAGGCAAAGAGAGTAGAAGGAGAAATATTGAAAAAAAAACTCATTTCTGAAAAAAAAAAACAACCCAATCAAATTTTATGCCTATTTTTTTCTTTTATTCCCCATATTTTTTTTAACAAATTATTTTTAACCACCTCTAACTGCCTTGTTTAGAGTTTGTCAACAACATTAGCCAGCCGCTTGACAAATCAAGTTCATTGTCGCTGCCGCCACATGGCTGTAATTCCTTTACATGGCAATTTACTGGGAGGCCCAGGTTTGTGATGTAAACAATTTAAGTTTTTTTTCTTTGTGATTTTTTTTCAAAGACGGAAACATGTTTTTTGAGCTTTGCTCAAAATCCAGTTATGCGCAAATGACATTGGTAGTATGGTTGAGATGCAAAAACAAAAAAAAAAAAAAAAAAAAAAAAAAAAAAAAAAAAACAATAAATAAAAATAAAATAAAAATGGACGCCATTGCGTAGGAAGTAGTTTAAAATGAAGACAAGGCATGAAGGCAAAAGATATTGAAGAGATTTTCTAATATTGATAAGAAAATTTTTCAATAAAAATCAATATCGAAAAGAAAAAAAAAACCGATAACAAAAAGATAATGAGATTTGTTTACCGAAACCATATGGATAGCATGATTTTCCATGAAAAATCGCACCGACAACAAG